ATTGCTCCCGATGCTGTGCATTGGTGTGTGACTGTGTGTAAATGCTTAGTTTACATTCTGGCCAGCAGTTGGCACCTTGCATGGCAGCCCCTGCCATCAGTGTATGAATGTGTGTGAATGGGGTGAGTGTAGCATGTAGTTTACGTGTTTAGTGTAGAGTGTTCGAAAGGCTAGAAAGGCACTATATAAGTACAGTCCATTTACCATTTACCATTTTCTGCTGTTCTGTCTTTATACTTCTGTTTTTGTGATTTGTACAGGTGATATTGGTGGTCAGATGGGTCTGTTCATTGGAGCCAGCATCCTCACCATCCTAGAGCTGTTTGATTATGCTTATGAGGTAAGTTCCTGTTTTCACACTTTTATTCCCGTCAAAACATCTAATTACACCCACACATCACTCCTCTACAGGCTCTCACGGTTGATGCTGGTGCAGTAAACTTAAATAGCTTTTGTTTTGGGTGTTTCAGTGAAGAGTTAGAGCATTGACCATGAAAAGCTGACAACAGAAACAATGTCACTGATACAAAAAGTAGATAAGAGCTGGATTTACTTCAGAGCCGACTGAATGTGTGATGGTACTTTTTCATTACCTTTGCTCTACTGTGTGCCCCTCTTCAGAGCTTCTCATGCTGTTTTCAGCTGCACAGGGTTCTGACAAGTACATAATAGTCTTCGCCTCCCTTAGGGTTTTTGAAATACACAGGAAAAGTAATTTTCAACAGATTTTTTTTTTTTTTTTAATGGCCATAATGGAGTATTGGGGAAAAGAAAACCATGATGTCGCTGTCATAAGCAGTTTACAGGTTTCATGCTGAAAATAGTTGTGATGGTTACTTTTGAGTTAAAAGTTCCCATACAGTTAATAATCACAAGTCTCTCTGACTTTTATTTCCCGATCTGCAGGTGGTGAAAGACAGACTACTGGATTTACTGAGCAGAGAGGATGAGGAGGAGAGTCATGGAGAGGATGTGGTAAGAGCGGCCTTTAACCTTTCACTGTCAGTCTTTTTTTTTCAGAGGGCAGTATGTAAGTGGAGCTTGTAAATTCAGCGAAATTTCACTTACTCTGATCGTTCATTTCAAACCTTGTTAAATCTCTACTCCTCAATGCAAGCATGTAGAAAGAGCACACTAGCAAATTTAAGACTGTGTTCAGGCTGACAGTAGAGATGCCAATTTGGCAGACAAAGCTCTGCTCTTTGAGGGAGCTCTCAAAGAATCAGCAGTAAGGACTCTGCTGGGAGCAACTAATCCCCCCTGAACAAACACGTTCATGAACATCAAATCTTAGTTAAATCAACAATACCATAAGCTACCGTGCATTGGGAAGGTTGAGATGGTGGAGTCGGCTGCAGCAGCAAACAGCATTTGCATGAAAGTATCTGCAGAGCAGTCAGTGCGAAGTGTCAGGTTATTATGGTCACTGTGCACACCAGAATATTGCTGGACATTTTAAGACAGCTGGTAGTTGAGCTGCAGTGAATAAGCCACTGATGGCGAGGCATTAATGAAGCAGCTGTCAATTCGGTGGCAATACCCTGTTGGATAAGGACCCGGCATTGTTTGATGTACATTGTGACTGTTGTCAACCTTAACGTAGCCTCACCCCTTGCACACTATTTTCCAGGACAAAAATAAATTCACTTAAATTTCATCACTGAAATCACTTTGAGTTCAATTTTAAAGAACTTTGACACACGTTTAACATGGTGACCAACTGCGAACCTTTGCACCGCTTAGCATTGTTCTAAACTCAGGAAGTTACTGTATCATATTACAATAGTTTTATACAACATGCTTTGCTCTGAATATAAACTGCTCGATTAGAGTTATGGTGTACAGAAGTCAATAATTAAACATACTCTTTAATAAAACTTTTTATCCTGTTAACGATCAAGCTATTGTGACTCGGTAGTGCTAGTATGTTACCGGCTAGTTAGCATGGTAGTGATTAGCTTACCAGCCAAAGTAGCCTGGCAATAGGCTTCACATATAGTCACCACGTCACCAGAACACGTATTTCACATAGATGCCCAAAGGAATTTTGCTTTGCCAGCCTCGCCGACTCTCCCTATCTTTTTTCCTAGAGTTCCTGTGACCCGGTGGCAAACCACTCAGAGTCCATCAGCCACACTGTGACAGTCCCCCTACAGACAACGCTGGGCACCCTGGAGGAGATTGCCTGCTGAGGCCCTCCCCCCTTCCCCTGAGAGCCACACACGTCCAGAGGCTCACTCCACTGGGTGGCACTACATCCACTGTTAGGGCATCCTGCAGGACCTTAACAGGGGAGGGGAGGAGATGAGGACAAAAACAGGGGCTGGTCAAAGGACAGCGCTGCGCTCTGTCACACCGCCCTGTCTGAGGCACTAATGGGGATTAAGGAGCTGTCGGCTGGACTTATCGGCCCTCTCTGTCACCCTGCACTGTACTGTGGTGGGAGGGTGGCCTCCGCTGAGCCAGACCTCCACATACACGCAAACAGAAAATCAGAGACTGGGTGGGGCGACTACCCACAAAGGGGGCTCATCCCTGTGCAGCATATCTATGTAACAAACACATTCATACGTCGGTCACTGCCAAATGAACTGTACAGAATTGGTTTTGAACTGTCCAAACTGCATGCGTCGATCTATCTTGCTCTCTTTGCTGATGCATACGCTGGACTGCAGTGTTGCTTTACTGTACATGTGTGCCATTTGTCTCTCTATCTGCAGGACAGGCCTGTGACAAGGGCCCAGGTGAGATATCGAACTTCGAATGTACAGATTGAACTTATGGTTGTTTAAAATCATAGTTCAGATATGACCAATTCTTTGAAAATCTATTCTATTCTTTATCATTTGTTTGTTAATTATCTTGCAGGGGAAGGGGTTGGTGATGTATGAGAATTACTGAGGGGGGGAAAAAACAACTGAACATTTTGCTTTGTTTACAGAAAATCGAGTGAAATCTCAACATTTTGCAGCCCGCACTTTGCTTCTTATTTTTTTTCAACTGTCAGTCTCAGTTTAATCAGTTTACTAAAAGGCATGTTTGCTATGTGACTCCTGGGGTGCTAAGCTGTTTGCTAGAGACATCTTTAAAGGGATGTCATACTCTTACTGTTAATTTATGTGAATAAATGACTGGCTTCTGGCTGCTGCACCTCACCACTGCACCCAGCTAAGTGAGGTAGAATCTGAATTTATTCGTCTGCCAGACAGCAAGCCGTGTACAAAACACTGCAGCAAAAGAATATGCCCAGGGTGTTGTTAAACCATTACTTCATTAAGCGAATTTCAGGGTCATATCAGGGCATCAATTTGTCCTTCACCAAAAATATCCCCAGTCTTGACAATTGAAAAAAAATTTCCTGATTAAAAAAATCATTACAAAAGCACCATGCGGAGGATTCAGCCAACATTTTTTAGGGGACAGTGTCTGCTGTGTTATGGTGTAAATATCTGTGTTTTTCTTCTCATAAAAACGGGTACTACGCAGACATGCCTGAAGCAGATCTAATTTAAAAAACCTTTGGTAAAACATCAACTCCAGGTCCAGAAGTGACAACATATTTGTCAGATTTTTTTCATGATGTTACTCAATCTGCAGCTCTCAGCAGGTGAGAGTGTTCTGTAACAGGCTGTAGCATTTTGGGGTAGTTGAATGTCATGCTAAAAATGGGGGACACACTTTGCTATGAGGTAGGCATCCTTTCCAAAACAGGTTTAGCTGAATCTTCAGTGTCCTCAGAAGCAGTTACAGTTACATATATGTGGCTTTACACCAAAAGCTTTTGTGAGACCATGTGGGAGATTTAGTGTTTTCTAATTATAGTCCGTGATCATCCTAGCATGGTCTCTGTCATCATGCTAATGTACATTACAGGTAGGAATGAATTCAAGTGCTTTGTGAGACTGTTTGAATTATGATTTCCCATCTGTGGCTCAACCTGCTGTCTCTGTGTACTATCTCATGTTGTGGCTTCAGACGAACACAATCCTCAGCCGACCTGCAGGGGTGTGAGACAAATGTGTCTCGCTCTCTTCTGACGGTGGCAACACTGGCTGTTTCTTCTCTCTACTTTGGCTTCAATTGTTATCGCAGGACAGCGTTTTCTCATTTTGTGATGCAGCATACAGTGTGTGTTTTTAATGTGAAACAATTAAATTAAAAAATTGTTTTGCAATGGTGGCGTCCTGTTGTGGTAAGGCTAAGCAAGCACAGTTTGTATTGCACCTTTCAACACAAGGCAATTGCAAACTGCTTTACATAAGACATGATATAAAAGAAAAACACAAGGCAATATAACAAGACTAACCCCAAAATTCCACAGGGTACGGGCATGATCAGCTCTGGGCACGGGCGCAGCCAGAAGTCCAGACAATGCGTGTGATTGTACCCGAGGCGTCTATGGTCCGCAGAGAATACACGGCTGGTCTATTTTGGCGCGACCCACCTGTGTCAAGCAACACAGAGCAAATCGCACTGCCAGGAAGTCAGACACAGAAATGGCATAGAGGATCTGCTCAGTTTACAAAATAAAATACCTTGTGCAGATTCCGGATTGAATTGCATGATGGAGCCAAACTTTGTAGCCAAACTTTACGTAACGTCGTAAAGCCGTGCTTCCTAAAATTTCATCTACATCTGACATGGCTGCTCACCAAAAGTGAAGCCAAAACATATGATCACCCCCTGGTGGCTGGCTGAAGTATAGGTCATAAAGCATGTTACAAGATGGGACATGGGCCAAGAGTAAAAAATCAAAGCACACATGAAATACAATTTTCCAAAATATGGTTTCTGTCAATTTAGGTAGTTCTTATCACGCTGATGTATGTTCAAGGGTTATTTTTCCTGATAAGTTAATTAGTTATTTGATTTTAAAAGTGGGTTTTATGTCTTTCATTATCTCAATATCATCATGCAAAACCCAATCACTACTGCACATGCTCTTGCTTCAAATGATCACCAGTGCAAGATTGCTGCAAGTATTTAGGATATTTTGGCTTCATTTTGGTACTCTGGGAGGAAGAGGAGATGCGTCGTCTATTTTTATATGTCGATGGGCTGTACTAGCACAGCTATGCTTTGAGCTAAATACTAATGTCAGCATGCTAACATGTGGCAGGTCAAATTTACCATGATCACCATCTTGTAAGCATGCCAACATTTGCTAATTAACACTAAACACAATTTGCAACTGAGGCGGATGGGAATGTCATCGGTTTTGCAGGAATTTGGTCATAAACCAAAGTATTGGACAAATCAAAAAGTTTGACCTCATGTCAACCTGGTGGTGGAACTAGAGGAAAAGCCAAATGTCATGGCAATCCATCCAATAGATATTTCAGTCCATACAAAAAGTGTTGGACTGACAGACAAACCTGACTGGAGCACTGATCGTGGCTAAATAGAATTAAAAGAAATTGAAAGTGGAACATATAAATTCAAATTTATGAATCTCAAATTGAATAAAACAGACTGAACAGAAAAATAAAAAGTTACATTGCAGTAAGAGATATAAATAAGTAGCCCCCAAATTTAATGTAATAAAATGCATTGAATGGAAGAGTTTTACAGTCTTCTCTAAGGAGTGTGCAGCCTTATAGTCGTCCTCAGTCCATGTGTCATTTCCTGGGAGGTTTCGACAGTAACCTATGAAGTGACTTAGGGACAGCCTCAATTTTTATAAGTGGGGGCTGGGAAGAATGCAGAGAGTGAGCCGATACAAAGGACCGGTCCACTCCTGCAAAAAGAACTAAAGAGTAGCAAGCCACGTTGGATCAAATGTACAGCTTGGCAAGGTGCAATTTTCCTCTGACATCTGTGCTACATGCTCTTAATATTGGTTGAAGTGTTCTCCCATTCAGCCTTAAATGATTACAGCAGCTTGGACAATGGAGGAGTCACGCCATAGCAGCAGAAAAATCCGCTTGAAACATGCTTTAGCTTGCCGGTCGGGTTTTATTAGGCATAGCTACTCTTAAGAAAATCCAACAGCAGTAGCAGTGAGAACTGAGAGCTCAGAGAGTGCTATATCTGTCCTTTCTCATGGCTACACATTTGTTCCTTTAATTCAGTCTAATAATACTTTTGATTGTATTAGTTATTTAATGTACAGTACTGTGGGCAGAGGGCTTGTCCTCATAGGAACTTTCAGTTTAATTCAACTTCAGAGCATAGCAGCAGTTACAATTTTCGAGTTAACTATTGTAGAACATGATCCCCGGTTTTAGTTTATTTATATTAATATTCTACACATTGCCAGAGACTCTTATCTGGAAGCTGCTGCAGGCTGGGTTCAGCCTCAGTTCAGTCTCAGTTCATTTAGCAGATATTTAGGCAGAGGAAATTGCCTGCAGGTCAGCCATAGAGCATCAGCAGCTCCTTGTAAACATAGAGGTTGCCTTGGTAGATTTGAAACTCACACACAACAGAGGCACAAGTACTTAAAAGAGCATTGTATAAACTATAAGAACAAATACTTCAGAGCCTTTAAGTGGAAACAATTCCATGTGCAAAAGCAAGAAAAGAAAAACATTGACAAAAGGGGAGCTGGAGTGTGTAACTAATATAATAGCCCAGCAAGTTCGTGTAAGAAAAATCTATCAGGTTGGTCTTTTAATTCAATTTTTTCAGTTTTGAGTGTCAAATGCAAAGATATGCAAAGATAGCTCTGCTTTATCCACTTTGCATTACTCATGTGTAACCTTTCACTTTATTAAGTTGCACCTCGCTTCACCCTCAGCTTCGTAGCGTGTAGGAGAAACTACAGTGGTTGTGAAACATGCAAAACAAATGCACAAACAACCCTATCTATAACCAGTGTTTGATTTGTCCATCCTGGGCTACTGTAGAAACATGGCGGTTCAACATGGCGGACTCCACGGAAGGTGACCTGCGGCATCTGTAGATAAAATCTGCTCATTGTGTGGGAACGAAAACATGACTCCTGTATTCAGGTTATTCAGGTTATTATACACTAATGAAAACACACCTATGAATATTATATCCCATTTGTGCCAATACGTCCTCCTAAATTTTACACACTGGACCTTAAACTGGGGGACCACTTACAACATGGTGACAATTTCTCTTTGCATACTGTACAGGAACTACAGCTGCTGTATGTACCATGACATGACTGAATATTATGATTACCAATTTGGCCATACAGGCACAACAGTATGCACAGCCAAAAAATGACAATACGTTTGCATACTCACTTATCCAAAGATGAAGTATCTCTTGCAAATGACATTTTAATACTTAAGGTTCTGAATGGAAAAGAGAGCTGCTTATTAGCCTTAAAAGGGAAGCTTATTGGGGCCGACATACTAAACTGTACTTCTGCAAAACTGGACACACAGGGTTAGGTAACGTTGCTGCATGCGATTCAAGGATTTACATTTTCATCTTGGAGGCTCAGCAAACACACAGAGCAAATAAATGGCTAGCGTTACTGCACTGCTCCCACCCTGTCCCCGAGCTGTGCCGTTCAGTTGTGTCCCCACACACAAAGCTGCACATTTTCACTCCAATAATCTGTTAACGCTAGCTAGCCAGCTGATGTAGTAGCGAACAGGTCGGTGGAAGCCAGTGCACACGGGTCACAGGGTGTTTAACATTACCGCCAGAGTAAATCTCATACAGCCTTTTCCATTCACAGCGGCCAACTTAGCATGGCTAGCATTAGCTGGCGGCAAGTTGCTGCTGTCAGTGCGTGTCAGCAGCAAGCTAGACCCTAACCACACACACACACACACACACACAAAACTAGCTGCCAGACGACGTAACACGCAAGACAGACGCGAAGCCATGCACATATCGACCGACAACACACCGACTCAGTGAGTTCAAATGTGTTGGTTAACGTTGCTGCGCCAGCTAGCATGAATGTTACCGACCCCAAATTCATTTGGTCCGCAGGCTGTCTTGGAGTTTGTTGCTGTGGAGAGATTTCGGCTTGAATTTGAGGGAGAAGCGATGCATTTAAACCCAGAGTCGGTGACAGGAGCAATAATTGCCTCCACCCTACAATACCGAAAAGTGGTAAGCAAATGATGAGTAACTAACAGCAAGTAAAGTGTCGTTGTCCTTACCTGGATGGGAGATGTCTTGAGACGTGACAGCAGCATTCATATTAAGTTGCCTCGAGCATGCGCAGTGCGTCCGGTCCCTGTCAGTGAGAGTGCTGCTGCTGGAGCTGCAGAAAGGGGCTCAGGTGGGTTGGTTAAACATACACTGTTTACAGCCACTGCACTGTGTACTCTGGTCATTCATAGGAGTAGAAGAAGTTCTTTTTTTCTCTTCTGTGAATGAAGAAAAGCAGGTAGGTTATAGGCTATTACACATACTGTAGTCATTATGTGCTCTACATATTAATATAAACTAACCACTTATAGACCTATCACATACAAATATCTGCACTTTAATAAAATGTGCAGACTAGAGTATTACAGGAATGTCACAAGATGTTAAAAACCCCAAAAATATAATGTCCTATTGTTTACCCAACACAAATATTAGCCTATTCCTTATGGCTTAGCCTGCTTGCAGAACCCAACTTACACTGCTGTGACCACATAGAGGTTGCCTGACAGATCACAGTATCTGATTTGTCTTGTTTTCTTACAGACATGCTCTGTGAAATAAGTGAAGGCACTGGGACAGGACAGGAAGTACCCTAGCAAGGGCAACAAACCCTGCCTTTGTCCTGTACTCAAAGCAACCGCCCAACACATGACAGTTATTACTGATAATTTAATTGTGGAAGCATCATTGCCTTCCACAACAACTCAGGGTAAAATGTTGTTTCGGCCTCGTCCTGTCCCTCTTAAACACAGCTGATGTTTTTCATGTCCTCATTTACTGTGACCTTCTTAGTACTGCGATAGTGAAGAAAAAGTGCGCCTTAGCTAGAAAATTTGTGACATTTAAAAATCTTCAACTCTGACATCCGGATAACATCTGTAATAATACTTAATTTCTTTTAAAACTTTGTCTATTCTTCCTTTTTTTTTGTTTGCTAAATCTCAAACTGTACCAGACACTTTTATAACATGAGACCATCTACTGTGAGTTTATACAACAGAATCAAATCTTAAAACAAGGGTTGTCTATATGCTGA